GTCAGACTATGACTATGTCTACATCCAAAGACACCAAGTGAAAGGACCAATCATGAATGTTATACTGACAACCAAGCTTAAAATCAATGAATTTTAATGAATTTTGACAGTTTTTTTTGTGAATTTTGTGAATAAAGTTTTTTTTGAAGTTTCTTGTATGATACAAGGTAAAGGTAATAATGAAGACTGAACAAGAATGACTCGGGAAATGACAATGCAATAAGCAGAAGTCTTGCCGGTGAGTGCATATCGAGTTTAGAGCGCGCCACTTAGTTAAATTCTGGGCAAAATCGCCGTATTTTTGGAACGCTATCTCGGTACCTGACAGCCTACTCAAAGTAAGAGTCTGTTTCTTTGCTACCTCCCCATGGGAATAATTCATGGTGGGTGCTTCTAATTGCAAGATGGTGGGAGGCATGATCAGCTCAGAGAAGTTTCGATCCATTATTTGATCTATTGATAATCGCCCCACTTGCCACTACTCCACCTCCATTTTGCAGAAGTTCGTCCTCGACTACTGCTGCTACGAACCCATGACTTATCGAGGTAAGGACGTTCCCCGTTTCTCACCTTTACTCAGCCCTCTTGGGATGATCCTTATTCTTGCCCTTATCGCGGATTCAATCCCAAGTGGGACTTTCTTTCTCTAAATCTAGTCCGTCGAGGTCTTTCTATTGGAAACCGCTCCCGCTCTTTCAAGAAAGGTCCCACTTACCGTATGCTCCAATCCCTTAGTGATACACTGCTTCAATACTGATTGTCACTGGTTATCGCTTATTATTATTGATAGTCGATTATCTGATCCATATCCCGTGCTACATCCATTTGTATTGTATAGTCCTAGCAGATTGGTTTATCTTAGTAACTGGTATTGTATTTTTACGATTAATGGATCAAAGTAAGGGGTTCCGGCAAGTGAGCTTGAAGGTTAGTCTCGTTTTTCATCAGTCTGCTGATCTGCTTATCGATTCATGATCCGTCTCTGTTCTCTATAATCCATATTGCTTGGAAAGCATCATTACAGGCCCCGCAGAGCAGGCCATCCCTTTCTTTTCTTCAGCGTCTGATGTTGAAGGACAGGGTGCCCCCTTTCCCTCTCTCCCCAACTACACTCTCATCCAAGGGGCTTTACGAATGTCGGTTTCTTGAAGAAGCTGATAGCTTAATGATATTACCTTTCAGAGCTCCTCCGAAGCATCACCTCGATCATCACCGTCAATATTCGAAAGGATTCGAACAGCGTTGTCTCCATCAGCCGAAAGTAGTGAGTTCTATAACTTGGGGATGATTAGAATTCACACTTTCACACGATGTATACGAGAGAACTGGAACTCTTCAGAGCTTTCGAGAGGGCCGTCAGCTTAAAAAAGTCTATCGAACAGTAACTTTATAGTGAAAACTACCAAAGCAGTATGCACATTGACTGTAAGCCGCGCGAAAAAATCGTGCGGTAGTTTAGCGCAGCCCATTCACTTGAAGAGCTATCCCATTTTTGCGATATGGGTGCGTGCGAGCATAAGCGTAGCACCGACTTCCAACATTATTTCGAAAGGTGATAAGTTTGTGAAAAAAACTTTACAAGTTTACAGCTCAACCTCCTGTCAAAGTACGCCTTATTAATGGATGGCAAGATTTTACCGGCGAAAATATCAATACTGTAGTATGCAATTTCCTCTATGATGAAAATAGTGAACATTACGAGAGGTAAGTGTCTGTTTATACTTTGCGCCATAATGAAAAACCGGAAAATTCACGCTCAAGCAAGGCTAAAGTATTCACTTGTTAGTTTCCTATGGCAATCACTAACCGCAAAGTGTTACGAGAAATACTTCATGAAGCTCACGTGCTCTCAGCCGGTTATCCTGACCTTCTAATCAATATGTGCTACATGACTTTGACCAATTTGTCATTGCGACGCGAAGTATAAACGCAGCTGTAAACTCAATGAGGGAGGCCTAATCTGTCCAAAATGCAGCTACCGGTGCTATTCCTACCGCAGTAAGAGAATCGTCCTCGAAGCAACTGAATTGTAGAATGGAATAATTAGAGCTACAAATATTGCTGTATCGATTTATACTTACCGTGTTCAGGTGGCAAAAAGTTGAAACAATAAGTGGGCTTCGAAGAGAACATTTTTTCTATGGAATGTGCTTTGCCCTTTTCGTCATGGTCGTTCGACAAGATCCCCTAGCTATCATGCATTCTTTCGTGGTAATTTTCTCTGCCTTGTACTACTGTAATTTCTTGCCGCCTTTCATTCAGCACGAAGTTGGGCTGTACTGTAATGAAATCAACTTCATCCTTGGCTTGGCGTCTGTGCTCGATGTACTAGGCAAAATAGACTTGCCCCTATTTTTTGTTACTTGAATCATTTAAGGTATTAATTGGTCCTGCTATATGTACCGTATTAGTCCTGAATGACGAACAACTCGAAGGAGCTCGATATTGGCTACAATATTGGATAGTTTACGCTGTAATCACAACACTTGGAAGAATTTCCAAAAGGTTCGATTTAGATTATTTACCAAACGGCTCAACCTCACAGTATACAGCTCAGCTGAAGATGTGGGCTTGACTCAATCTGTCCCCTTAGTACTGAGCGTGAGCAGCTCGTGCAGCTCGGCTATTTGTCGCACCAACGAACACCTTTGGTTGCCTTGTTGTGGTTTGACATCAGCTCGGGCCTGCCAGACTTCCTATCCCTTCAAGTAGTATTATCTTATGCATCACCAGATTCGGTTAGGACTCCAGGAGATTAGTACAGTCAGCTGGTATCCAGAGCAAGTATGCATTCGAATGGTCTCACGAGCTTGTGTAGATTTCAAATGCATGGCTCACCCCACCCCGTCTACTATGGTCCATTGCTCCATTGCTTTGCTGATCCAAGGATATATATCTAAGGAACAGAATGGTGATTATAAAAAAAGAATGGTAGATCAAAATCGATCAGAATTGAAATCTATCGATCGGTCATCTCGCCATCGTCTTACACGCCACACGACAGCACGAAAGGGTGTCATCTACATATACCTACCCAGTATTCCCTTGCGAAATCGAAGCCATACCACCCAGCTCTGGATAACGGAAAGGCCTTGTGAATTTTAAAAACCACCGATTCAGGCCACCAGACGATTATAGTGATCTGAGCTGGATGGAAGTCATCTTTTTTGCTGCATGCTTGATACCTGCTTCATATTTACCTGATTTTATAATTGCTTGTATAATGCCACTATTTAACAAAGCTAAACTTACATTTGATGAATATAACTATCAATATGTCTCTTAATATCACCTGATATCAGATAAAGTAAATAAATAAGTAAGTAGTAAAGTAGTTAAGTATAGTAAATGACTACGTCAATCGTTGATACTGTATTTGTACTGGTAATTAAAATAAACGAATTGCCCATTGATGGTTGTGAATACAGCGAAACGGCTACTCTCCTACTTTACATCACTGGCGAGATATGCCTGTGTTTATTTATTTATTTATTTGCTTATTTATTCGTGGTATCC